CACACAATGTAGGCCACAGAAAATGTTACATCAACCGCTCTAAATGAGCTCATGGAGTAATTAAAAGAATGCAAAGGTATTATACTATCATGTCAACTATATTTTATTGTTAAAATGTATTTACTTGACTAATTTAAGGTTGACTATAAATTTGTTTATAAAAACCGTTAAAAACCCGCAACACCTGATCATTCATTCTGAGATTGGGCCGCCTGTGATCAGATTTCAATAGACAAATTATGCCGATACAGCTCGTCGAAGAAATCAACAAGTAGCCCGCGTGCAGGCCCAAGGGAGCAGGCTCAAGGGAACATGATAGTGGGCCTGCAAGCAAGGCCCGGTATTTTGTACTTTCCGCGTTCGCCCACGAACGCGGCATTCTGATTGGCTGCTTGCTGTTGGATTCTATAATTAGGTCAGTGATTCATCACAAAGGCTCTCGATATTCTCTCGATAAGGCCACATAAAAAAAATTACTTGTTTAGCGTCCACCCATTTTAATTTTTCTAGGTCGGGCGGGCGAGGTTTTTTTTTTCGTAAAATGCAACACAAAATTCTGCTAAATGCAGGAAATCCAGTATATTACCACAGTCAAAACTCACTTTAATTCTTTCAAAATCCGTTCATGTTTTTTAATCACAGTTCATGTTTTTAATAAAACAGAAAATTACCGTTTGACGGTCACGCGCGAACACTTTAGCCAGCGTGGCCGGCTCTATTGAAGGAGAGCCTGCCCGAAAGCCCTAGTCAAATTGATGACTCTCGGCAGCCAGCCGCCGAGAATTGTGATTGGCTGAATTTACGTTGACGACAGTTTGATTAACATGTTACACTAATTTATTCAAATATATTTAAAAATAAATACAGTAAAAACAAACGGCATCGCTATATTAAAGTGTAAACCTGTCGGCTAAAATATAAAATTCAAAAGACAAAGTGTAAAATGTATAAACAGAATACGGCAAGCCATACTGCTATTACTGCATATGTCGTATAATTTTACCGTATGGTCACTATAGTATATAGAGTATAAAACCTTGGCTGTCCTTGCCTAAGTTGCCTTGTTTATATTTTGCTGGCTGGCAAATTACGATTATATAAAACAATACATTCCCCATTGTGTTTAATACACCATAATAATACGAAGCTTTCTTTGGAGCTTTTAAAATACATTTGCCTGCCAACGTGTATAACACGGGAAGGGCTCTATTTAAACTTTTCCTAAGACTAAGTCAGTATATTTATTATATACTGCAATATTTATAACTGTAGTACAGCCATACAGGTGCAAAGCATAATATAATTTTGAACGGTCTTCGTCTACTACTAATTTCCAGACAAAGTCGAAGGGCCTTCGCTCGAAATGCCGACGTTTTGCTTGTATTTCCAGGCAGTTGAATCGCTATCCATCTGTTGTAAAAAGTTTATTGAAAGCATGTAGCGCAGGCTATAGTAAATATGCAACAATTAAAATTTTAAGTCATCAATTTATACAAAACTATTTCGAGTGGGCGGTGTTAATATGGAATATTAACTAAGTGGGCGGCATCAATTTGACTAGGGCTTTCGGGCAGGCTCTACTTATAAAAGAGCCAGCCACGCTGGCTACAACACTTTAGCTGCGAACAGGCATATTCTGGGAAGGAAACTTTGTGTAAACGTATTACATAGCTCCCAAAAGAATAAAATCACCATTTTTTCAAGTAAAACGGTCTTTTTTATAGAGAGTTTTTGCACTGAACTCGGATGGATTAAAAAAAATTAAAAAAAAATTGGAGGTCGGGGACTTTTATCAGGTCGGGCGGGGACGCTAAACAAGCAATTTTTTTTTGTGTGGCCTAAGCTTAAAATTCGAAAATTGATCACTTTTTTCGATTACAAATGGAACAAGAACAGACTGTGTATTGTTTACTTGAAGGAAGAGATGTTTTTGCCGTTATGCCACTGGGGATTGCTTGTCGTGAGGTGTTGAAATAGCAACATTACGACTGGGGTAAACTATAGTAACCTTTTAATACACTTGAGTTTCATTAATTTCAAACAGAGTTGATACGTTATATGTTCCTCAAGAAAATTATCTTTTGGTTGATGTTGAGATGCAGTTGCATGTAAGCCTATTCGAAACACTTTGCGATTTACATGGCTTCGCTGAGAGAGCGAAACAGAAGACGGTATTAAATTGCCGTTTGAAACGAAACGATCTGGACTCTGAACGCCCTCTTCTTTTGTAGAGTTCTTTACCAAAATGAAATAACTGAAATAAATTTCGTACTTTCCGCCGCCAACAAGAATTGCACGCACGATCTGATAAGTCAGACAATTTATTTATAACAATGGCGACAGCGAATGCTAATGTGGTCGCACGA